AATTCTTGCCTGTCCTACTACATATGGATGATGCAAATGCCATTCCTACTATCTTGTTTGCATTTGTTTTGAAGGATTCATATTAGCCATCCCTATATTTACTTCCTTTTCTGAAAAGTCTTTTCTTTATTTGTTTGCTTTTTTTTAATGCAGTGTTTCAATAAACATAGAAAGGTTGTATTTATAAACAAGTTCTAAATACAATGAGGTTCCAACTGTAATATTTATAGTTTAACTATTACTGGTGGGCAATTCCTGTTTCACCCTGTACTTCAGCTTTTTAAATGAACACCGAATTTCTGTAAGAAAGCTAACTTCAAGGATAATGATAACATCGTTTACACTAGAATTATATTGTTTTTTTTAATTGCTACTAATTATTAATATTACTTATAAAAGCATATACTCCATTTGAATCTATATCACCTCAGTGAAATTGGTTGACACCATTGTTTTTGTTTTTCAGTTATCATTTAATAAAAAAGAAGCAGGCGAAAGAAGAACAAGAAATTCAAATTTTTTCTATGATATTTACAAACATTTCCAGAACTTGTGGTTCTGTCATTACACAGATATTCTTATAAAAGAAACACTATATAGCATTGTAAAGTTCTGATGACCTATAGAGGAGATATTTAAGATACCATTTTGATTAACAATGCGAGTCATGCATACATAGGCAGTCTTACTACCAGCCTGATATAGAAATTACAAAACACAATTGAGCTCCTTTTTGAAAACATACCATCCAACAAGGAAAATCCATGTAGCATGTCTCCTACTAGAGAAGAAGGGCATCACTCTATGGGGGACTATATCCACTTTAAACATAAAATACTCCTTGCACAAGAGAAATGGTAGAGTAAAATATATTGTCAAAAATCTTTTTGCATGATACTAAACTTTTGCATAGGTTGGCAGAGCACAATATTACTCAACCAGTCATTATCTCACATGCAGTTAGCTAAGCATGAATGTGTAATGTGGCTAAGGCTGAATGTGTAATGTGGCTAAGGCTGAATGTCAGGCTGTTCCATATTGTAAAAATACATACATGAAACACTAGAGTAATCAGAGAAAATATCTCAAACCTACATCCCAAAGATAGCACAAGAGCCTGTCTATCTGGATGCTGAATTCATAATGTAGTAGGGTAGCTTGTACTACACTTTCAGGTAACACCCCAGTCTTACTTCCAATTGAGGGGTGTATCCATTCAGTCTCTTACCAAAGGAATTACACCATCCCAATGGGGAACCCTCAATACTGACTTCCATAGTGGCTTAGGACTGGGGAAGCAAGGGTTCTCTCATACTCCAGAAAAACAGAACAAAAGGTAGAAATTCACATGGAGGAGAATGCTGGAGAGATGCTCAGCCCAAACAGGAAACATCATATCTGCATAAAGTCCCACAGTGATAGATAATGCATTGAGTTACCATGACTCTTGATAACAGGTGCTAATGAGGTTTGAGGGTAGTCGAACACCTGGTGCTGTCTTTTTTTCATGTGACATATGACCAGGAAGAGAAAGATACACTTTGCCAAAGCAGTCTTGCAGAAAATCCCATTTCAAAAGCAAACACTGTGCAAAGATAGATAGGTTTAACACTTTTTGTACTCCCTCATTCAATTTGGATTTTGGAAAAGAGGAGTATTCTGCTGTGAGGCAATACTGGTCACTTAGAATATTTTATTGTCTTTAGTTT